AACTTTGGTGAAATTTGTAAAATTTTTTATTTTTTATATTATTTATGAGTGATAAATTTAAATTTTTATTAAAGAAAAAAATTTAAAGTTTTATTAGAAGAAAAATTTTTAAATTATTTTTAAAAATAAAAAAATGAATAAAAAATAAGTAAAAAAATTTATAAAAAGTATAAATTTAAAATTTTTTAAAACTAACTGTTTAAAACTTTTTTAAAATTAAAAAAATTTTAAAAATTTAAATTTATAAAATATAAATAATATCAAAAACTAAAACCCTTGCCAAATTCACGAAACATGTTCTAAATATCCTTGACTTGTTGCCCGTGGTCTTGAACTTGAGAAAGTCTACTGTACAAGAGGGATATCAAATCACGTGATAATCTAGTCCAATGAAATTATTACAACTCACTAGTGGTTAGTTTGGAACATGAATTTGGTGAAATGCATTTGAATTTCAACTTTTTACTTAAATAAAAAGTAATTAAATTTTAAAAAAATACATGTATTTCACCTGTGTAATTCCAAATGCTAAAACTCGTGTATTTCAATTTCACCCTCAAACCCATGAATTTTGATTTCAAATTGAATTTTCTCTGCACTCTCTTCTCTCATCGACAACGATGAAACCTCCATTGTCCGTCCATCTTCTCCTCTACCATTGCTCTCCACCTTCTCATAGTCGGTCACTCACCACTTCGCTGGGATGGAAAAGAAAGGACGATGTGGTCGGTACATCACGTAGAGGACTATGTCGGCGATGGAAGCGAGGAGGGCAAGGATGAGGAGAATCAGAATGGACCAGAAGCAACATTGACAGCAAAGGTTGCGCTGGGAGCGATAGTGGTGGCGGCGGTTGTAGGGAGGAGGGCGATAGGGAGGCCGGGAGGTGGGATTATAAAGATTGGACTTGGTGGGTCCACCGTTGGTGGTTGCAGTTGTGGTTCCTGCACCATTCATGGCAGCCACGGCGGTGTTGGTAGGTTTGGTGGAGGGGAAAACTCTGTTTGTCATTGTAATTGGAAAACCAAAAAAAAACAAAGAAAGGGTTCAGATTTGCAAGGCAGTGGCTGCTGGAAGAGTGAGATTTGAAGACAGAAAAATGAGGCGTAGATTTGGCCACCTCACTAGAATTGACGAATCTCTTATACTTCTAATTCTACTCTGTAAAAATTTAATGGAGGAAAAAGTATTTTACACTTA